GTGAGCATCTTTGCCCAACTCCCGCGAACATGCAATCTAGAGTGTGCAGGCGCAATCATCATGTGTACATGTAGTCGGTCAGCCACAGTACTGTTTGATCCGGAAGGCAAGTCACATGTCTATCATGATATAAACGATTCTAGACGCTGTCGCATCGGCAAGCCCTGTCAATACAGGCTGCTCGGCATTTTAGAGCACTTTTTGTGACCCAGTTCGTGCCACACCACTGGATACGAGCGGCCTGCGAACTGTGGCGAATGCAGCGGGAAGGATTCGCTCAACGAACAAGGAATGCGTAGGCGCTTACGACTTATCTGAGCGTGGCGTGAGGCATGCAATGTGTGATATCATCCTTGGAAATCTTCGCAACTTCAGAAGCAGTCCAAGACTGAATGGGACGATATAGTGTTGTAACCTTTGCCATACCAGCCGTACAGCTGTGTGGAGAACAAAGTTCAATGCTGCGCCGTAGCGATCAGCAAAGTTGGCTGTGGCTGACGACATCCTTGTCAGTCTCCAAGCGAGCATGAGGGGCAGAGTTTTTGAGTCAAGAGATGACGGAGCTAGAGCATAAGAATACTAGCGCGCAAGGCTGCGATATTCTTAGCATCTCGCATGAATCCTTTTTCCATCCAATTCGCATCATCAAAACCTACGATGATACACTGCAACCACATGCTGCAGTTCTCTCAGTATTATCAATCACCTCCGACGTCGGAAGAAGAGCGAAAGCTGACACATCAGATCTGTACGATATCAGTCGAATGAGAATCTCACCGTTGTTGAGCCGCAACGGTGTGCTTGTGGCTTGCCCTATCATCGTCGCATCCTTGTCTTGGCTACGACATCTTCGGTGCGGCAAATTCCCAACAGACACACCACTGCGCTTATCTACCCACCACCGTTGTCACATCTATGAGCATACGCACCACGTTGGCCACCATCCGGTCAGAACGAGCGTCTAGCAGCAGATTAACGTTAGTCAGTAGCATGGGCGGCTGTAGGTAATCTAGGCAGGGTCCACGGAGCCTCCCTTTACCCTGTCGCCTTGAAAGCAGGGTCTAGGTGTTTTATGGAGTATACTCCGGATCTTGTGGCGTTCTGAATGGGGTCGAGGTAGGCGCGATATGGTGTGTTGAGAGATTGCGTGCTACGCGATGCTAGATGGCGGATGAGCTTATTCTGCGGACCGTTGGGATGCTACTGTAGGAGCTCATGTGGGGAGAGGAGGGTTGGGATCGATTCTCCGTGGAGCAAAGGTTGGAGGATGGTGTGAACGGTGGGCGTCACATGCAGCTCTGGCGAGAATCTGTGCGCCTGGGGCAAGAGATGCGGAGATTGTCGATTGCGGGGAGCGAGCGGTGAAGGATCCACGGTACACAGCGATGGCTCCGACCGTTTGACGGTGACTATGGGCGTTGATCGTCAAGAGCACGGAGTAAGATGTTTGCGGATCCTCAATTGATGGGCGATAAACAGCGACCTCGACCGTATTCCAAGCCAGTCTCGCGTTCTCCGCGGTCCGAAAACATCTCGAAAGTCCGAAGGCCGCCATCATACATCCGTACCACGGTTCCTCGTGTATTACAGCATTACTGACCCTGCGGCTCAACTCTATCCGAAAAAATCAAGGGTCCAATCTCCGTCCTTGGAACCCCAGGGTCCGATCAACGCCTAGGCTTTGACATATGCAAACTTCTCACCCACTCGACCTCCCGCATACTCAAATACCCGAGACGACGACATGTGAAGTCCATCGGACGTTTCCGGCCATGACATCAAACCCTTGATCGTTGGCCCACTACACGCACTACCGTATGACTTACTCCATTCTCCACCGTGGCTCTCCACACGACAACTGCGTTGAGCACAGGACATTCAGTTGACAGTTGGGCTCTGCACTCCAGTCTCCACATTTGTAGCGAGAGAGCCGACGAAACTCATTTTCCTGCGTGGGTGAGCGAGCCCCGCATTGGGCCGTGGACTAGGTCTTTAGCACAATTGCTGCAAACTCGAACTGTTGAGAGTGGGTCTTCCATCCCATCACGTCCACCCCTTACTTACCCTATCCCACCATCTCTCTTCTCCTACAAGCCACGCGTTGAGTGTCCCATATTTCCTGATCCGACTTTTCGCTTGTGCACCAATAGATGGCGGATGTGTAGCGCGACGCAGTGAAGCCGCCTCGCTCAGCCCCGCGGAAAATCACATTGACCCCCCGGCTATAGTTATGGCCTATGATTCATTCAGTTCGACGTCGGACGCAAAATAGGTGGGCGCTGTGGAGACGATGGATGGGGAGTCACTCGGCGGAAGCTAAGGCTACGTGAGGAAGGCTTCCGATGCTTGCGGGACGGAGATGATAGTTGTAGAGGCGCGATGGGCGCGATGCAACGGGTGGATATTGGTCGGGAGGTTTCACGGTGGTGAAGATCGTGTCGCAACTGTTGAATACAGTATACTAGCGATGAGTAACAGTGGGACATGGGAGAGGAGCAATTTGCACGTTGGGATCGTAGAGGACTGTAGAGGTAAGCGGAACATGTTGCATCTGGATGGTACGTATTTCTGTATCGGGAGAGTATCACTTCTAAGCGCACTACCTTGCCAAAGCTTCTCCTCCAGCGTGTAAGGTCTTCCCGCCTCGTCCTACGCAAATTCATTCTCCTTCCTCAACAAAGAGACCGTAGGCAGTGTCACGTTCGCAGTTGGTATGACTGGTAGAGTGAAGTTGGCAATTGGCGAACCGGTGAGGGTAGGAAAGCTTGTCACGACTGGTGGATTGGGACCCAATTCACACGGATGAGGTCCAGGACGAGGCGTAGGTTGGAAGAGGTTGCTGCACTGCGAGGTGTTAGTATAGCGCCTTCATCTTAGGGAAAACGTCAGTCACTTACGATGCGTGTTGGTGTTGGACATCCACCCACGGCTTGCATGTAACAGCCGTACGAGAAGTTCTCTTCGAAATGGCAGCTCTGGTGCTTGTGTTAGACAAACCATAATGTGCTGAATCCATCGTCTCATGTACGTCAACCTACCTGTAGTGCATCAGTTGCCCAGCATGGGTACCTAGCTGTCGCTAATTGACACTGGCATTTCTTCGTAAAGATTGGGATTGGCTCCCAATGAGGTGGCCTTTTTGACGAACTCAACTCTGGGTCTTCATCGTCGTCGTCGTCTGAACTGGGGTCACTTGTCGGGAAAGCTGTGACTGGGATGTTCAGTGAAGTGGAATCTGGCGTGGCAGTAGTCGATGTCGGTAGAATTGCTGAGAGTGAAATGAGAGTTGCTCCTGGAGGGATCGATATGTCTGTAGCTTGAGGATATGGAACTGCTAGCACCAGCGCTGCCAGAGCACTGAGCAAGACGAAGGTGCGCATTCTGGTAACTTGTTGCTAGTCTTGGTCAATCGCAGAAGTGACTGATGAATGGCAAGGCTGTGAAGTCTTGGTTGTATCATTGAGCCTCTTCATTCTATGTAACCGTTACCACTCCACGGTGCCTTTCAGAACCATATTGTTTTACGATGCTCTTTAGATTGCGATTGTCAATGTTCGCCTCGCAGTGGTATGCTATTGCTCAGATCAAGTCTTCTTCCATCAACTTGCGACAAAAGTTGCAGTCGCGTCCGTTGTGAAGCTATACATAGCAGCAAAATCTGCGCCTGTATTTACCAGCGCGTATTCCATGGTGTGACTACTTTACCGTGATTGTGAAGTGCCGAAGGCCGCGCGGCTGATTGGCTCCTTCTATGCGTCTTAATCTGAACTCGATATACCCTTACATCGGGATAAATGGCCTAAATTGGAGGATCCATGGCAGCCAAAACCGAACATGGACGTTGGACGGCACACCCTCTACCAGACATTCCGGCCATAGGACCTCCACGGATATGCAGCCGCCTTATCAAGGTGATCGTCAATAATTGATGTCGTAGTGGGAAGACCCGAAGAATCCATAACGCGTCATGTGGCTGCAGTATGATCTCTTCTCATGCCTCAGAGGCGCCCAAGGATTTGATATGACGAAAGACGAGGCCGTTCCTTGAATCGGTTGAACGAATCCTTTGACAAGCGGGAAGGCTCAGCCCATGTATGTGGCGTACACCTCATGCAAAGCTTGGCTCGAAGCAGCCTCCTGGCGTGCGACGACCCGTTTAGGACGTCCTGATGGAGTGTTGGTGCTCCCACCCTGTCCTCAACATGTGGAAGCATGCGTCGCAAGCTGCACTTCGCTGATCAGGGTCCGAACGGTCTCGGCCGCTTGTGTCTTGGAAATGAGGGGTCCAGGTCCGTCGTTTGGATGTTGTTTCCCTAAAACCCATGTAAGCTTGTGAAGTGTGGCCTGGTGTGCTGAGGTGCCGTGATATGCACTCCGCCATCAGCATGGAGCGGAGACGAACTGTGGAGACACATCCACCGTTCAATGTTGTGAATATGCCTGGTGGAGTGATGTGCGAATTTGCAAACCTTGGACGTTGCGCTTTGCTAATAGAATTTGTTATCGGTGCGAACCAAAGATTGGCGATACAAGAGGTACATGGAGGTACTTCGAGATACTAGGTGGGTCGGCATCCCTCACGCCAGCCTGCCCCAGCACACCTGGGCATCTTGTGCAACACAGGCTACGCGCGGGTTAGCCTCTGATAACATATATTGCCACTTGGTGTTGAGATCGAGAAAATTCAGCGGTGGACAACGCGAAGCTGACTGAACATTTTGCAAATCAGTCAGTGAAATTGAAGGTTGTGCAATCGTGGGCACAGCAGCATCAGCATCTGAGTGCAACTTAGTAATCGAGGCATGTGATTTGGCGGCAGACGCTCGGGCCTATGACGAAGTTCGCGATGCCGAACTTCACGAACTGCCAAACGTCGGTCAGGTCGTCGCGTCAACCATTGCACACGATCTTGTAAGAATATTACTCTCGTCGCACACCAATAACACGATGCATCAGAGGCAATAGCTGACATTCGTTTCATAGCCCCTCATATCGCAACAATGGCACCATCCAGGGCTATTCTTCTTCGCCGCATAGCCTCCGCAGCCACAGCGCCATGCTTACGACCGACTTCGCGTCTCCTCACAACGTCTACCTCTGCACTATGTAGAACACAACAGTCGTCAGTCTTGCGATCGAGCCTATCGCGACAGTCACATTTGCCTACGCTATGCACGCGATCATATTCGCAGTCAGCCAGCGCGGCGCCTGAAGCACCGGATTACCTCAACGAGGCAGAATTACACGTCTTCAACAAGATCAAAGCGGAGTTGGAGCCCGTGAAGCTGGAGGTATGTAATGCTTCCCCGCTTTCTCGCTTTCTCGCTTGGATATGCGTATGTGCGGAGTTGGGAGCGCTATGCGTTGACCACACCGATCGCACGACCGACTACTGCACCGCGAGCATGCACGTCATATCAGTATTGCGGGGTATATTGCAAGTCTGGACGCACATCAGATGTCGAAGTATTAGCAACACGTCTGCAGAATATGAGTGTGCTTCGGTTAGTGAACGAACAATCGCTGACATGTAGGGCACAGGTACAAGATATTAGCGGCGGCTGCGGGTCCATGTATGCCATCCAGATCGAGTCCCCTAAGTTCAAAGGCTTGACGGTCATCAAGCAACACAAGATGGTCAATGAAGTACTGAAAGACGAAATAAAGAGCTGGCATGGTGTACAGCTTAGGACGAAGGCTGCTTGATCGCGGCTCGAATACGGAATGTATATATGTTGTACGACTAATGTATACTTGATAGTCATGAGACAGAGCTTCATGAATAATGTGTCGGTTGCATTGGCTTTGGCTCGTTAGTCAGTTGATAGTCTATCGCAGCTGCTTTGCTTCGCATGCTGCGCTCCAGGCCGAAGTGACCGACTACTTTGGGAACCGAGGGCACGTTCAATTACAGTTCTGAACACCAAAAGCTAAGAAGAATGAGGGAGTAGCCAAGCTTGTCGAGCTAGGGGCTCAGCGAAGGCAGGCATAGCAGAGGAAAATACCGTAGCTCCTAAGCTCTTATTGTAGGTCATGATATCAGACAAATGCGCAAATAACGTTCGACTCTGATTGAACCTAGATACCAAGTACAGTGAAAGCCTGAAAACCATACGCACTGTCCTCTTTTTCCTGGAAACTATTCATCGTCGTCGGTATCATGGCTATTGCTGATCTCTAACACGTCTCCATCTACTCAAAGATCAGAATATTGGCTAGATTAGTGGTACGCAGTAGTGTCCGTCCATGAACTTACAAGTCTCGAGCTCTCCCGACCAATTGCACATGACCAACCGGCAACCAGCGTAGTCTGACACCTCAGCATCAGGAAATCTCGCTCTAAGTTGGCCTGGTACATCGACACTGTGATCGGGGTAGTTCACACGATTGTTACTCGCATCGACCCCTTCATCATGTCTCTCAAATCCAAACAGCCGAATGGTTCTCAAATCTGGGCAAGCCTCTGAGTCGAGTAACTCAGGAAGCGCTATTTTGACAAAACGATCGTAAGAAGGGCCATTCGCACATTCTCTCATATACGACTGTGGAGGTAGATGTATGGAATCAGTGTATGTTTCACATGCGTCAATACGTTACAGACTTACCTTGTTACTATTGCTATCGCCCGTGTTCTCTTCGGCGATGGGTCGTTGATCGAGGATAAGGTGTTGCAGCGTCTTTCGTGTCGCTCTGAACAGAGCGCTCCACTCCCTCAGAATTCGCTCGTCGGATGGCGTAGAATAGTACATCATTCTTTGCTCGTACTCGGTACCAACTCCAGGCTTGCAAAGATGCAGTGTCTTGAGACTTACCAGTCTCGATATGCTTTCAGGAACCAGGCATGCAAGAGCACGCGTGGTGACATATTCTTGACCCTCCAAGTCCACCTCTTCGACTTTCGTACGCCCTCCTTCCGTCATCTCTTCTAGATAATCAAATATCTGATCCTCTGGTATAGCATTCTCAGAATCCGGCCAGCCTATTGGACGATCCAAGACGGCCAAATGAAGTTCCTCGATCTGATCAGGTTTCGTGAGAAGCCATCTGACAAATTCCTCGGGGAAATAACCACGCAATTTGAGCGTCTTCAAGTTTTGCAATGCCGGCAGCTGTACCTTGGATTCATCCAACCCTGAATTTGGTTTCCAATAACACGATATCTCTAGATGCTCCAAATTCACAAAATGTGCAAAGCTTCGGGCCATGCTATTGGGTGCGGCGAAATGCGTCGGCAAACAGAGCCACCGCACCAACGCGCCTAGTTCTTTCTTCCTCTCTTCGACCAGCCTTTCCCCCGGTGTTTCACCACTCGAGAATACATTGAGAAACTTCTCGCCTTGAATGAGCGCCTTCTGAGCTGACTGGTATTGCGTGTTGCTTCGAGGACCGGTATCATAAGGTGGTGTCACGCGACTTGTAGCTTCTTCGATTCGGAGCGCGTTATGTGCGGTTTGCGTATGAAAGCCCGGGCGGTGCATCTCAACGATGGTCCAGAGAAGGGGTTGTACAGCAGAGTGGTAGGCTTTGGAGACGCGGACCATTGCACATAGGTCTTTACTACAGAGGTGTTCCGTTATACATGCGAAGACATCAGTCGACACTTGTTCCATTGGGAACGGCATTCTTGCGTGGTAGCGGTGAGGGGTTTTAGAAGTCAAGGGATATCACCGAATTGCCCAGCTCAGTAATAGGAATAGGAAGCAAACAAGGGTGGTGCAAGTGAGGCAAAGAAGTCAGTGTCTTAGAGTAAAATACGACAACACTACATCAGTGGAAAGCTTTGCGCGGTAGAGATTGCTGTGAAGCTACCTAGGTACCACGCCACATGTACTACCACGCCGCATCAACGTCAACAGGAGCGTCACTCGGAGTGCATACAGGGACTAGCGCTTATGCCGTGCCATGTATAGGATCTCGTTCCTGCCCGGCATAATACGCTAGGCCAAATGTGGTGTAGACCTGGATGTCTGGTTGTGGAGTCGGCATTGCGGTCAACACATCAACGGAGGAGATACTAATTGAGAACCGGATATTGAATACACAGGAGTGCTCATAAACTCGTGATGTAAGACGCAAAAAATGGCCGTAGTGTTCGTACTGATCTGGTGTTCCTCGCGCGTACGATCCGCTGAAACATTGACACTATATTCTTTTCAACTTCATGAACTTGCACATACGACCATAGGATCTTGAGAGCAAGGCTTCCCGTTCGCTCAGCCATATTTAAGCAAGATACCGGCGGATCAGTACTCGGGTGGGTGACCACCGGGGAATCCCCGCTGTTGTATGTTTTTGAAGTTTTAACAGATGTTTTTTTGCGTGTGGGGCGGACGGCGCATGCATGTTTCTGACCTTTTTCCCCGCCTCTTTGCTCGTCTTTTTGACTGGCTAACTGTTGTTAGTCTAATCTTATCGTGCCCAGATAGAGATATATGCTAGACAAATATAAAGTCTTGGTACCCGGAAGTGTTACCTTTCGCACGCAGTGCTGCATTACTATCTATTAACTCGTCCACGTAGCTGTCGGCAACGGACTGTCACTCTTTGAGATTTTGAATGCTTTGGTCGAGCTCTTGAGCATGGAGCCTGAGCATCAAAGGAGCGTTTCTTGTAGAAATACTTTTGAACATTGCTTATCCTCTCCTCGGTTCGCGTTTATCCCTTCCAATCTAATTAAGCTAGGATAGCTGGCCATTGCAATGTCGAATATCGACGACTTCGCACTGGACACGGAGGGCGACCGATATTCTGGGCATCTGTCAGTCACTGGAGCCTGACGGAAACAGCTTGAACCCACCGTGATGAATCTAAGCAACAGCAAGAAACGGTAGGGCAAGCGATATCAGGGGAACGATCTGACTGAATCCAATTGACGTGTCAATTTCAAAGGCACATCGCGTGATGAGCCAGCCGGCACCGGAAAGCGTTCCAGGGCTGTTGTGCTGCAAGGTTGATGTGAATGGAGAGGTGACACGTTCTTAGCGCGTTCGGCAGCGCGCGCTGAGCGTGCTCCGCGAACCGGTTCGTCGGGCTTACTTGGCCCCTAATTCCCCCGACTCATCACAACTAACTGCATTCCTCCAGGCATAATAATCACTGACTCATGTTGCTATCCAAAGTGTACTGCGCAATGTAATGGCATTTTTAATGACGATAAAGTGTGTGTATATATCTACAAGAATTCAAGCCGTAAGGCTTTTTGACCCCCCTACTTTGCAAGCGCAATTCTTTAAGCGCTCTCAACGGTGATGCTAGCAGATCCGGAGCTCTGGTAGCCCTCAGTAGCGAGGATCATGTAGTAGTGCGTACCAAGCTTCTGTCCGTACTTGGCCCAGGCATCAAAGTGGTTCTTGACAGTGATGGTACCACCGACGCGCTTGCTAGTCCTGACGGACCAGTACTGCTGGAAAGTAGCAGTGCCGTCAATGGAAGGCTGGTTGGTGCGGGTGGTCTGGAGGATGTCGTATGTGCCACCGTCAGAGGTGACGGAACCCTTCTTCTGAGCAGCAGAAGAGGGGTTGTAAGAGCCGTAGGTCTCGACGATGTAGTACTCGACAAGCGGGTTGCGAGTCCATCCGTAAAGAGAGACGTAGGAGTTTACGTTGGCAGCGTTCCAGGTACCAGAGTACTTGACCACCTTGTCAGGCGAGCCGGGGTTCCTAACGAAGAGAGTTAGCAGAGTGGAGAGCGTGGGTTCTGAGGGTGCCTTACCATCCCTTGCCAGCAACGAAGTTACCCACGTTGGACCACTGGACATCGTACTTTCCGGCAGCGCCGTTGTTGTAGGTGACCTGGCCTTGGTTGTCGGTCCAGAATGAGTAGAAGTAGCCGTTGTTGGTGCCTTCGCCTGGCTGGGTGGCGCGAGCAGTCAAGTTGGCAGACTCTTCCTGAGCACGAGCATCGAGGATGAGGCCGAGGGGCGAGGCAAGAGCCGCAGTGGCGCTACCGAGAGCGAGAATGATAGAAGAGAAGGCAACCATTGTGTTGATTCAAGTTGGAGATGCTTGGTGTCCTTCTTTCGAGGACAGTTGGGACTCTTATATACCAGTGGATGCGTTGTACCGTGCTGATCATTACCAGGGACCGCCAGTGAACTGCGGCTGCGGATCGAGGGAGCCTTACAAATTGGAGGGCACCTGCCGGGCAGGCGCACCTGGCGTATACCAGCCGTAGTAACTGTGGAGTGCATGGGAGCATGTCTACGTCCCGTCGCCGTGTGTGGAGCCGTGTCCTAAAAACAAGATCGAACCACCGGGTATTCAGGGTCTGAACGTAATGGTTGGACAGCTGTAGAGGCGTAGTTTTGAAACTCGAAACATTCATTTCCGCTGGAGATGCGTTCTGTGTGGACCTGTCATGCTATAGGCCCGATATACTGTGGTGCGACAAGAGTGGAGCGGAAAACGTCTTGGCCAGTCGAGAAACATGTTGACCCGCTGCGTTCTGGATTGATCCTCCGTATCTTCGAAAACCATCTTATCGTCGCATTGCTGTACCTGAACGTGTGCATGTTGATTTGCACAAGCTTTTGCATCCTGATTAAGCTCAGTCAAGCACCGCGCCAACCCACGATGCATGCAGTCAAGCCACTTTATTTCCGCATCATCAACTTATTTGCATTTTATCCAGCTGGGCATGCGACATGCTCAGATGACCATAGGTGATATATTCACCGATGGTGTTGGCAAAAGCATTTGGTCTGGGAC